GAAATATTCAACTTTAAAGTCAGTCGAACGAATAAAGTATTAACCTTGTGTATATGAACCCAGTATATAGCGTTCTGGGTCTTGGTTACGCTTGCAGTTTTTCTAATGTTTAACTTTACATTGAGCATCATTATAATTAAATTGAGGCTACTTCAGGGTACGAAGCAATGCTGCCCAAACAACTCAGTGGTAATCCATTTTAGTGACAACTTTCATGTTGCAATTTTTCTACTTTCATGAATCCATTTTGGTCTGTCTGAAAGCATTTTATGAATGTGCAAAACAAAACCAGTTAGCCATTGACTGAAAATATTTGCATTACGTTGAACCAAAAAAATTCACCAAAATGTTGGGTGGGTGATTCCCACATGACACTTGTTTTCAAAACAAATTTGAAACAACATGCATACAAGATTGTCCCTGTTCTTATCCCTAGAGAAAAGGAAGGGATAAATAAAGGATAATTTGATCAAGTGGGAGAAGGAGTCCAATTTGAACAAGGATTGTTCCATCTCAAAACTCTTTCTGGCAATCACTTTATAAAAGGGGTGGAGGGTTGCAGGGAAAGGGGAGGAGGAGGGCAGCCGGCAGGCTGTGGAGAGATACAAAAATAAAGGGGGAGAGCTGCAGGAACGAAGAGGAAGAGCAAGCACATAAGAGGATTCCTGGCTATGGTGACTTCTATCATCATAAAAAAAAGTTAGGAATCTCTCTATGGCAAGGCTCTGCTCAAAGACTTCCAAGGAAAGCATTCAACATCCAGCACGATTAAACCATGGGGATTCTTGGCTATGATGATTGAAATCATCACATATTAAGTCAAAAATATACTCTAAGGCGTACCTCTTCTCAGATACCTCCAGGACATCCAGCTATGGATTGACAGCTAAGATGATTGAAATCATCGTGAGGTCAAGTCCTGATATGCTCCGAGGTGCAGCTCCACTCAGACGCTTTCAGGATGTGCTCAACATCCAATTCACAAGCATTCCGTAAGGATGGCTTATCATGATGGGCTAACCATCACAAAACCAATTCTGGTGGCTTCGCAAGGAAAGCACGAACTGAGGTTTGTCTCTGACGTGGGTTGTGCCGCAGGGAGATAGCAGACAGAGAAAAGGAAAACATTAACGAAGGCATTCGTTCAAATACCCAGTCATGGTACCGACTGCTTCTTGTCCTCCAATGACAAGAAGACAAGTTAATTGTCTTTTAAATGAAAGCTGCACAAATATCTGAAGTAGGGAAAAAAATTATACAAATTTATAAATAAACTCAATTCTAGACATGTATTTATAAAAAAACCCTAATACTATTTAAACATAAAAACACATTCAAAATCAACAATTGTATATTTTTTGGATGTGTTTATAAATGGGTTTTGAGTGTATGTAATGATGGATTTTGAGTGTGTTTATAAAGTATTTTGGGTGTTAAGTTTTTTTATAATTTTAACTCTCATTTTGGGTGTTTTAGTGAAACCCCCAAAAAATTATATCTGCTGTTTGCACATCAAAGGTGAGCCCACCACGTGAAAGCTAAAGGAAAAAATCAGCCATGTTGAAGAAGCAAAACAAAATGAAGAGTAAGTGTGGCGGTGAATCCATCACTTGCGAATTCAAAGGAAGAGGACTTCTTCCTCTTTGACTTGAATCAGAGCAAGAAAAAAAGAAGTCTTGGACTTCGAGGACTTGCATGTCCAAAGTGAATCCAAGATTATGAAAAAGGAATGGGTTGCAACTCTACATGCAGCAAGACATTGAGATTTCTCTCACAGATGCCTTGAGCATCCAAACCCACAGACAAACAGCTAAGGTTGTGCATCGTTAATAAAGTTCCTCCCTGGAAGTCTCTTAGCTTGGGTATGAAACCCACAAACCAAATTATACGGATTATCAATCCATCACGGGTGTGTAACCCTCAATCAAATACTCTGTGATATATCCATTTTGGGCATAAAGCTCATTCACCAAGTTCTCTGGATGACAGATCCAATTTGGGTACAAAACCATGAAAGGGTTTAATCTCACAGCAAATAAAAATCAGCTGTGTGCAGAAAAAAAGAAGGAAACAAAGCTCGAAAGGGGAGACCGCGAGGTGCAGCCCATTCCTTGAATTCCTCATCTGGGGGTTGTTTGCAAACAATCAAAACAAAGGATGGAGGTCTTTAAAGAAGGGAGTAAGGATAGCCACGTTTCTGTTGGCAACTTCTTGCTGTGCAGCAAACCAAAAAACAAAGAAAAGAAGGAAAGATGGACTCACAGCCCCGTTTTTGTGTGGCAGAAGTGAAGAGAAGTCAAAACACTTCAAATTAAAAAAAGAAAAAGAAAAAGGGTAGCTGTACGCCACCTACTTGGTTTGCTGGATAAAAAAGAAAGGAAGCAGAAATTGGGAATGGCCACGTTGGGGCAGCCCATGCATTGAGTTTCCCATCTGTTGGTTGTTGGTTTCTTAGCAAACAAACAAAATAAAGGGCCCATTCTTTGTAAATGTCCACTAAGCTCAGGAATATGCTTTACAATATAAAAACAAGCATTGAGCTTCACACAGATAGAAGGCAAGGTGAAGGTGTGAAACCAAGGCTTTTTCAAGTCCCTCACGTCATTCTTGGTGACTGCAACAAATGAAAACAAAGTGTCCAGGCACTTGTGCTCCTTTGTATTCCAAGGGACGAAGACATGAGTTCACTACTTGCAGTACCAAGCTATGCAAGTAAAAGCACAAAAGTGTCAGCAAGGGTTCACGAGAACTAAATCAATTGAAGGTCAAGAAGGCTCAATAAAATGCTTATGGCATTCGGCTCTATCTGCTTCAATTTTCAACTGCAAGATGGCTACTAAACATGCCCACAAAATCCCAATATGAAATTACAAGATTTGATGGCCCAAGACATAATGGTCTCATACCCATGGGGCTCGTCTCACATCTCAAGATCAGTCAGTCTCAAGCCGACACTCCAAGTGGTACAAAACCACACCAAATTCCAAATGCAAATGTAAATTGTAGAAAATTAGTGGTTTCATCAAAATTGCTCATTATTTTTTGGGGACATTGACAATAAGAAAAATGGTATCAAACCATCCAATTTTTGCCCATGAGTCATCTACCCATGCAAATTTTATTGAGATTAAATTCAAATCTCTTAAATACAAATTCTCAATTAATGGGTCACACTTACCCATTAATTTCTAATTTTTCTCATGGGTCATCTACCCAGGAAAATTCCAACGGGATTAAATTCAAATATCTCAAACACAAATTCTCAATTAATGGGCCACACTTACCCATTAATTTCCAATTTTTCCTATATGTCATATGCCTATGAAAATCTCCAAATTGTCCTAAAGATACAAATTCTCAACTAGTGGGCCACACTTACCCATTAATTACCAAATTCTGGAACTACGTCAGTTTGATCCCATCAAGAGTATGTAGGCAATCTAACATTTCAATAGACGCAATCGCAACCAAATTTAAATCTTTGGTTTAACTTAACCAAATTTTGCAAAAACACTTTCCCAAATGCAATTGTCAATTTTTAGGGAAAAAATAATGGGATAATTAAAATTACTTATTATTTTTCTTGGACATTGACAACAACGAAAGTGGTACAAAATCATCCAATTTTTCAGGGGTCATCTACCAATGAAAATTCCAATGAGATTAAATCCAAATCTCTCAAACAGAAATTCTCAATTAGTGGGCCACACTTACCCATTAATTTCCAAATTTTCCCATAGATCATCTACTTATGAAAATCCCCAAAATGTCCTAAAAACATTAATTCTTAATTAGTGGGTCACACTTACCCATTAATTCTCAAATTCCGAACTATATTGGTTTAATCCTTTTGAAAGGGTACGTAAGCAATCTAGAAGTTCAATCTCGATGCAACCATCCCAAACACAATTCCATATTGAATCCCTAGTTTATTAAGCTAAATTCATTCAAACACTCCTCAATCAAATTCATTCAAATTCCTCCAATTGTGATGAGTCATTTATTTATTGGGAATCTTTGAACTACAAGTGACTTGATTCCCGCAAAGGATACATAAACACCCTAAGATTAGACTTAGGAGCAACCGCAAAACCAAACACACACATTTTATTTCTTTATAATGAAATCAAAGGGTTTTTCCTTGTAACAAAGGATTGTAATTAAGAAACTTGCATCTCGAATGAGTCGAACCTAAAATAATAAAACCCCATTAATTAATTAGTAGTGGTGAAATTATATTGAAAGGTTCATATTTTCCTTCAACACATTACAAGAGCAGACCAGTCACCAACGACTTGCAAGAAAATTAACCCTAACTAGTTTGATTCACCAGTCGCCAATCCCAAAAACACAGTTAAGCCCAGGAAGACATCTCTAGTGGCTGATAAACAGGCGGCCTAGACACCTGTGGATCCGAATCCACCGGCGCCCCTGGCCGTCGAGTCCAGATCCTCAACCTCCACGACATCAGGGGTGATGATCTTCTCAATGATCAGCTGTGCAATCCTATCACCCTCCTTGATTTCAAAATCAACATCAGAATGGTTGAACAATATCACCCCAACTGAGCCCCTGTAGTCAGCATCTATGACTCCCGCTCCCACATCGATCGAGTGCTTCCAGGCCAACCCTGACCGCGGCGCTGCACACCCAAGAGAATGTTAGTGAAACACATTTCTTTAAAAATCTAAAAAAAATCATAGTTTCCTTTTCTTTTCTTTTTTTGAAATTTAACAGGAAATGGGGGATCTGGGTTTTACCAATTCTTGCATAGGTTCCTTCAGGGACAGCAATGCTCAGATCAGTTGGGACCAGGGCTTTTCCTCTGGCCGGTACCGTCGTCTCCGTTGCACTACACAAAATCAAAGAAACAAAGAAAAACCCACATGATATTACAATAAATTTTCTCGTAAAAACCGACCATGGGAAAAAAGGGTGGTTTCTGGGTTTACCTTGAGAGGTCATAGCCTGCAGAGAGAGGTGAGCCTCTCGAGGGCAAGACGGCCTTCTCAGATAGCTTCTTCACCCTGAAAAAAGAGGTGGGGTTTCCCGAAACGTCCCTGTTTTCGTGAAGCTTGGCGATCTTAGGAGTTGGCTCCTTGACTTCGTGGCTTCCGTTCTGCACGTCTTGCTGGCCCATTCTGAGAAGTTGAGAAAGAGTACGACGGTGAAGGGGGTATTTGCAAATACCAGGTTTTAGGGGCAGATAGGAAGACGGGGTTCGCTTAAATATAGAAAGTACCGCCAATAATGGTGTTTCCCGCGTCATGAAACCAAGTTTTCCCGCCATGTAGGTTCAAATTACCCGCGTTGTGCGCAGACATGTAAACGGTCTGTTCTCTCCGCACCTTTCACTCGCACCATTTCCAGCATCATTTCACTTCTTATTTTCGAGGATCTTGGGCTGATATTTAATTGGGCTCCAGTGATAAGCAATGGAGGCCCTCCTACGTTCACAGCTGGACCATAAATTTCAGCCCAATGGTCAAACAAGAAAGATCGAAAGCCCGGTCAAGTTGTATTCACATTCATTTTCAGTCCAACCAAATTTATTTTAAGGTAACGATGCCTTGAAGTTCACGTGGCGATCTTCTAAGGTTCATGTGGATGTGGCTATGAAGTATCAAGTCATTCTATGGTGACGAGGGTTTTATGTGCGACCCTTAAGTGATGTCTTATTTGTTAATTATTCGATCAAATTATTTAATTGTTTGATTAAAGTAGTTGGTCTGATTCAACGGTTAAGAAATAAAATCTCATCTAACAGCCATATATAAGGCCCTCATTATAAAATTCTTGATGAAAGATGAAACATTTTTTACAAACAAATTTGAATACAATTTCTATATTTTATTGAAGGTTCATGTGACGATATCTTGAAGTCTACCTGACAATTTTCTAATATTCAAGCAATTATTTAACGTTCACACAATTATATATAGGATTCATGCGACATAATATTCATATAACTATGCAAAAATAAAACTAGAGACGAATGATCGATTCTCTACGTAGAATGGAGAGCAAAACTTATCTATGTTATTGTTTTCATTTCATACCACAACGCCACATATTATTATAATTTGCATTTTATTTTATTTTTTGCAAAAGGCCATACAAAGAAATTCAATAAAATCCTTTATTTATGTTCAAAAAATGCATAACCATATATCTTATTTTCAATTATTTAATTTACAGATCCAAACGGAACAAAGAGAAAAACATAATAATAGGGTTAATCGTTTCATTAGTCCCCCAATTTGGACCGAATTTGCATTTGAGTACCTCAATTTCCAAAATGGTACTTGTGGTCCTTTAACTTTAGTTTTGTTTGGACAACTAGTCTCACCGTTATTTCTGTTAATTTTTGTGTTAAATTTAAGGGTAAATGGGTCTTTTCAGTTGGTTTTATTATCCTCATTGGGTTAATCGTTTTATTAGTCCCCTAACTTGGACTGAATTTGTATTTGAGTACCTCAATTTCCAAAATGGTACATATGGTCCTTTAACTTTAGTTTCGTTTGTTCCCACTATTACTTCTGTCAATTTTTTCATTAAATTTAAGGGTAGATGGATCTTTTTAGTTGGTTTTATTATCCTCATTCTACAACTTGCCTTCCTTCTAAAATAGACATTGGAGGTATACTAATCCCCCCTGCCTTAAATATCTGAAGCAACTTCTTACCTTGGCTTGGTCCCACAATCCCCTTACCACCCTCAAGCTCATCTTCAACATCGACTCTATCCGTTTTTGTGACACAAATTTCGATACGGCCATACTCTGGCTCCACCAGAACCACCCCAAGACTTCGTTCAACATCTTTCTTGGATCCACGACGACGGCAGATGATCAGGTTATATCCGTGGCTATGTTTCTTGGTGTGGTTCATAAGTCCCCCCGCGTACCAACCTGAAAAGACTCATCTATCCTTAAATTTAACGGAAAAATTGATAGAAGTAACGGTGAGACTAGTTGTCTAAACGAAACTAAAGTTAAAAGACCACAGGTACCATTTTGGAAATTGAGATACTCAAATGCAAATCCGGTCCAAGTTGGGGGACTAATAAAACGATTAACCCAAATCTAAAAGAGTAAAAGTCTTTTTTGTCCCTTAAAACCAACCTGAAAAGACCTATCTACCCTTAAATTTAACGAAAAAATTGACAGAAGTAACGGTGAGACTAGTTGTCCAAACGAAACTAAAGTTAAAGGACCACAGGTACCATTTTGGAAATTGAGATATTCAAATGCAAATTCGGTCCAAGTTGGGGGACTAATAAAACGATCAACCCCATAATAATAATATTTTTATTTTTTATTGGAGAGAAAAACATAATTTCAAATTTCAAATTAACCTAAAAAAGACACGGTGAAAATCGACCCACCTCCTAAATTGTACAGAAATCCTATTTATATATTTTTATTATAAAAATATTAAATTAATCATGAGTTCGAGTTGGGCATGACCATGTCCCAAATAATTTAGATCGGTCCGCTTACCCCTTCGTTGATGAACCAAGCCGTTGGATCAGCTCCACGTAATGTACAGCAACTCAACTGCAAAACGGTTAGGAACTCAGGTCGTTTAGTCCCCTCCCCCATAACATGCGCGGCTTTACGGCACAGTACGCACCCCTCATTTGTAAAACCCAAACAAAATGCGAGGGAAAAAACGAAAAAGTCACATGGCATTAGCATTTTGTCACCTTGGTAAACTTCTGCGTAAGCGTGTTTTACACGGCATTATTCAGACGCGTGTGGATAATATCTCATGAAGTAAAAAGCAAAATACGCATTCGTTCAACACCAAAGTAAGGTGAGGTGGGAGACAATAAAACGACGATACGCTAACGTGCGCCTGTAGGTTAATTGTATTAACCTACCCCTCTCACATTTTTTCTTTTTCTATTTTTTTGCCCTTAAACTTATATTCCCACCCTTCGCCTTCTCTCTGTCTCACCTCACTCAAAGCGCAAAAGGGTTTCTTTGCTCGCTCGCTCTCTGCAACTTAACCGATCATCAATGGCCGACCTTACCAACTCCGATTCCCGCCACCACCTCTCCGTCACCACTCCTCCCCAGATCTCCAAAGGTATTTATTCCATTTCCTTCTTCGGTTTTTCACATTCGCCTCCATCATCTAATTTTCCACCAAAACCCTAGATTGTCACAGAGACTCTTGCTCTTCTCGCACATTTATAGTTTTCGTTGCCGTTTGTGTTGGTGTTGTTTTTTTAGGTATCTGAGTTTAGGGTTTTGATAAATATTTCGTACTTAGGGTTTTGATAAATATTTTGGGCTCAGGATTTCGATTAATCTTAGTAAATTCAATTACTTTTCTTTGGTTTTTTAAACGCGATTTTATATTTTTCCCGTTTATTGGTTGGGGCAAATAATATTATGCATTTGGTTTTTTAAAATTCTTCTATTATTTTTTCATAGCTTAAACTGGTTTTTGGTGGAATGTGATAGTGATTGTATCCTATGCCACTGTTCGTATATTCCAATTTTCGATTAAACCCTTCTTTTTTTTTGTTAATCGCTGCATTTTATGTGGCGTAATTGGGACACAGGGCTTATTTAGTTCTTGTAAAGCTATTTAAGCCATTTTGTGGTAGAATGCCTTTTGCCACTCAATTACAACGGGTATGCTGGAGTTAAATTTTCGCTGAAGGTGTGTCAATATATGATTGGAATTCCTGGGGATTTTAGGGGACATGGTGCTACAATATGTTAAAGGAACCTTGGTTTCATGTAAAGTCTATGAAGAATGTCTTTAGTATTCCCGTAAAAAAAAGTGAGTCTCATTCTAGGAATATTCTTGAATCATAAAATTTATCATAGTTCGAAGTTCTGAAAAAGTATTTTCTCAATTCATATTTTGATTGATTTCGATAAGTAATATTATAACGTTTTTCAGTCAATCATGCTTGGGTGTTTAGGTTTCCCCTCATCTCTGAAATAATGTGTTCTCACCAGATCCACGGTGGTGCTAGTTGGATTTGTTTGATAATTGTTTGGTGGCAGTAATGCAATGTCTTTGCATTATATGTGTATATGACATATTTAATCCAATGCTTATTTCTGATGTACGCAGCTGGATCAGGTTCTGAGAATCCTATTCCACTGTCACCGCAATGGCTTCTACCAAAGCCGGGGGAGAGTAAACCTGGAATGTTAACTGGGGTGTGTTATTGTAACTTTCATGATTTTATATTAATCTGCTTACCTCTGTTGCTGCGTAGTTGCAGAGGAGAAGTTTCTTAAATTGTTTCCAGTTAGCATGTGCTTCTATCTTAGCTCTCATTATTAGTTTAGAATATTGATTCAGAGTTTCTTTGTTATTTATTTCTTAACAAAAAATGCAGGAAAAACCTCCCAGCCCAAATCCATCCTTTGGAAGTCGCTCGGATACCATGAAGGCATCAGGTAATGGTGAGGAGATTCATGATACCCAGAAGAAGAAGGATGTTTTCAGGCCATCATTGATGGATATGGAAACAGGTGGTCGTCGTGAACGCTGGCGCGATGAAGAAAGAGACACCAACTCCTCCGGACGCAAAGATCGGTGGAGGGATGGGGACAAAGAGCTTGGTGACCCTCGCAGGATGGATCGACGAACAGAAAATTCATCTGCAAAACACTTTGGAGAAGCACGCCGTGCTCCACCCGAGCGGTGGACTGACTCTAGTAACAGGGAATCCAATTATGACCAACGGCGAGAGAGCAAATGGAACACACGCTGGGGGCCCGATGACAAAGAGGCGGAAGGTTTGTATGACAAGTGGGCAGAGTCTGGCAGAGATGGCAGCATGCATCTGGATAAAGGTTTGCCTCATGTTGGAAATCATGTAAAGGATGAGAAGGATGGGGATCTCTACCGGCCTTGGAGATCAAACTCCTCCCAAGCCCGAGGAAGGGGAGATCCTTCCCATAATCAGACTCTAGCAGCAAGCAAACATGTTCCTGCGCATTCATCTAGTTGGGGACGTGGGGAAAATACACCACCAACTTTTTCTCTTGGTCGTGGAAGGGCTAGCTCTGGTGGAGGCTTTATGAACAGTAGTCCTACTATTCCTCAGTCTATAGGAACTGTGTTGGACAAAGTTGAAAGTGAACATGGAGAGCCTTCCCCTTTAAGGTATAGTAGGACAAAGCTGCTTGATGTATACAGGAAGGTTGATATGAGATCATATCGGAAATCAGTTGATGGGTTTATAGAAGCGAGTTCTCTTACAATGGATGAGCCGTTGGAGCCTTTGGCGCTTTGTGTACCGAATCCTGAGGAAATGGTAATGCATATTCGTTCATTAAATAATTTTGTGAACATTTCTTATACTTTCATCAGTTCATTTCATTTGAATGGTTTTCTGCTTGAGCAGGCTCTTTTGAAGGGAATTGACAAAGGAGATATAGTAAGTAGTGGTGCTCCTCAAGTCTCTAAAGATGGAAGGAACCCGATAGATTTTACTCAATCAAGAAGACCGAAGCTTGGTAGTTTACTTGTTAAGAATTTTAAAACTATGTATGCATGTTTTTTTTTTCAAGTGGAGATTGACTTGTGTTGGAACTGTTTTGTTTGAGCAGGCAGTAGGGAAGATTTACCCCTCGCACTTAATGATTCTAAAGATGAAAGCACTGGTAGTTCAAAAGGTGGTATTCCAAATTATTTAGAGGGCTCTTCTCATGAAAGGCAAGTTTTCCATCATGGATCCAGCCTAAAAGCAGAAATAATGCAGGATCAGAAGACGTACTCAGAGAACAATTTCAGAGCAGAAGGTATGTTAATTGAAGATGGGAAAAGGATTTTGAAACAACATTTCTTGTGATTGAATTGCGATGTGCATGTTGGTGTTGGTTACTATTGTGTGGGCTGTGGGAAAAATAATATGGATAATATAAATTCTACCATGTTATGTTGATTCAAATGGAATGGGAAAATGGTAACCTCTGGGTCATTGCTCATGGGGAACTGGTTTATTTGATTCTTAATAAACATTTTTCCTTTTGTTTTCAAATTTTGTATCAAAGTTCCTCTTGCATGTGTTTCTATTTCTATATATGAATCTGGGTGTAAGGATGATGATCTATTTTTCCTTAGATTTTCTTTTAAGAAAAAGAAAGTGAAGAAGACTGGTACTTGAATCGCTACATGCGTTACTAACATGAGATAGCTCACCCCATTTAAACATTTTACTCAATGTAATTTCTGTTTGCAGCTTTTAGAGAAGACAGTGGTCCTTTTAGAAGGGCCGAGGAGGCACCCGTTAATACAGATTTGACCATGAAGGGAAGTATTACTCCCCATTCTGGCACTCCATGGAGATCTCCATCACAGGGAGAGCGTTCGCATGCTGGCTTGCATGATTGGAAAGAGATTCCGGGTGATATCAAGTCAAGAACCCCTGATATGGGCTGGTCACAAAGACAGAAAGATCTTAATAATGAATGGGAAAGTAGAGATGAGGCAAAATGGAAAACCAGTGAGGACCATATAATTAGAAGGCAGCCATCTGGAGTTCTAGATAGGGAACAGGAAGTGAGAAAACCTCAGCAGCTTTCTCCTGAGGATCTACAGCTTTATTATAAAGATCCTCAGGGTATAATTCAAGGCCCTTTTGCTGGGGCTGATATTATTGGCTGGTTTGAGGCTGGATATTTTGGCATAGATTTGCTAGTTCGCGTGGCAAATGCATCAACAGATACACCGTTTTTGGCACTTGGTGATGTTATGCCTCATTTAAGAGCTAAAGCTAGACCACCGCCTGGATTTAGTGCCCCTAAACAAAATGAAGTGACAGATACATCAAGTAGGCCAAACTTTGGTAATGTTGGGAAGATTCATGCTGGTTTAAGTGAGACAGATATAGCAAGAAATGAACCAAGGCATAAACAGGGTTCGACAACAGAAGCTGAGAATAGGTTTTTGGAGTCGCTGATGTCTGCTAATACAAGTGGCTCTCCTCTGCAGAAGTTTCCTTTTTCTGAAGGTTGGTTTTATTAATAAGTCTTTTTTACATTTTGAGTTATAAAATGAGGGAGTTTATCAATAAGCTTATTCATATTATCTTTTTATTTGCACTACTTATCGCATGATGCCTTCTTGTGAATCTGTGTGTTTTATTTTTAGGTTTGCAAGGACTTATTGGAAACAATTCTCATGGTTTGCCTCATTCTGGATTGGATAATCTGTTGGCCAAGAGAATGGCGCTTGAGCGACAGAGGTCTTTTCCTAATCCTTATCAATATTGGCCTGGGAGAGATGCTTCATCTGTAATACCCAAGTCGGAGGTTGTCCCAGATCCAAACCTCCTCTCTTCAGTGGCTGAAAATCAGCCCCCTCAAACCCAAAATGCTGAAATTATGTCCATTCTTCAAGGATTAACTGACCGGTCGTCATCTGGAATTAATAATAGTGCTGCTGGTTGGTCAACTTTTCCTGTCCAAGGTGGGTCAGACCCAACCCAGAGTAAGATGGACTTGTATGATCAGAATTTTCCTCCCCAGGCTCCACTTGGATTCCAAAAGCAGAGGCTGCAACCTCAGAATCAACCGTCTTTTCCAAATCTACTTTCTCAAGCGATTGATAGTTCTAGTATTGCAACACAAGAGAAATTACTCTCTTCTGGTTTATTACAAGATCCGCAACTGATGAATATGTTGCAACAGCAGTATTTATTGCAGTTGCATTCCCAGGCGCCTGTTCCAGCGCAACAAATGTCATTGTTGGATAAGATCATGTTACTCAAGCAGCAACAGAAACAGGAGGAGCAGCAAATGCTGATAAGGCAACAACAGCAGCTGCTTTCGCAGGTTCTGTCAGAGCATCAATCTCGCCAGCATTTTACTGAGCCATCTTTTGGACAGATGCAGGCGTCTGCAATTCCGAAAGGGAATGCATCTATAGATCCTCCCCGGCTTCAGCCATCACAAGAAATGTTTCCAAGTGGTACAAACGTTCCAGTTCCTAATATGCAAAATGAACTTGCTAATAACTTCATGACTTTGCCTCCACAAGGTACCCAAGATATCTCTCAAAATGTAAGTGAGGGAGCTGCCTCGTTACCTTTACTGCATCAAATGTTTGGGAATATTACCCATCAAAGAACTCGGGATGTTACTCCTGTGGTACCCATTGCTATCCATCAGGAGTCGTTGCCAGCGTCGACAAATGTTGAGAGCTCAACTTTGCTTGATGTGATGACCAAATCTAGAAAAGAGCCCCTTGTGCAGAAATCCATACCTGATTCTGACTTTCATGCTTCTAAAACTATGGAGCAGGCATCTGAAAACACTTTCAGAGCTAACGAATCTGGTTTGGTTGCAATCTCTGAGGGTGTTGCAGATTCTATTCCACCTGTAGGTGCTTCTGAGGGAGATATGCCTGAGCATGTCAATGATGTGAAAGTTCAATCAGATAGTCAGGTTGAAGAACAGCAGATTCAAGGGGAAAAGTGCAATGATGAGGTTCCTGCAGTATCTGACGTGAAGAATGTTGAAGCACGTGGGCAAAGAAAGACTTCTGAGAAGAAGTCCAAGAAGCAAAAATCTTCCAAGGCACAGTCCTTGAGTGACCAACCAAAAGGAGTATCCAAATCTCTCTTTTCACAGCAAATAAAGCAGTCTGAAACTGAGAAGCCTGTTGTTGGTGACACAAAATTGGAGACAAGAGGTAACCGAGGCAGTAAATCTGAAATTGTTACTGTAGAGGTTTCAGAGTCACGACAAGCTGAAAGATTAGAGCCACTTTCTGGAGGTGATACTGAACCTTTTGAAGTGAAGGGTGATTCTAAGCTTGTTGAGTCTGGGCAAAGTTCCCAAATACAGATTGGGCAGAGAGCTTGGAAACCTGCTCCTGGTTTTAATGATAGTACCTGAGGTTATCAGTTCTGTCAATTCCTCAAGTCTGCCAACTCCTTGGGCTGGGGTTGTAGCCAATTCAGAACCAAAAGTATCGAGAGAAACTCCAAATGATGCAGGTATTAATGAGTTAAATGTTGGGAAACCCAAAATTTCCCAAAATTCAAAGAGCAATAAGAGCCCATTACATGATCTATTAGCAGAGGAGGTTTTGGCCAAGTCTAGTGAAAAAGATGTTGAGATTCCTAATGGTGTATCAACTCAGCCTTCTCCACAAGTTATGCCCACCCATTCAGAATCTGTAGATGACGATAACTTCATTGAGGCAAAAGACACCAAAAAGAGTCGCAAAAAGTCAGCAAAATCAAAGGGTACTGGAGCTAAGGTCTCAGTGTCAGTTACCCCAGTAGATGTGCCTATTAGTTCAAGCCCCACTGAGAAAGTCAAAAGCTTCCGTTCTGTACAGCAAGAAAAGGAAGTGTTGCCCGCAATCCCGTCAGGGCCTTCATTGGGAGATTTTGTTCTTTGGAAAGGAGAAACGCCTAATCCGGCTCCTTCTCCAGCATGGTCTACTGACTCTGGGAAGCTTCTTAAACCCACATCTTTAAGAGACATCCAAAAGGAGCAGGAGAAGAGGGTTTCTTCTGCTCAGCACCAAAATCAGATTCCAACACCTCAGAAATCCCAGCCAACTCCAGCCACCCACAATAATGTTCCTTCATGGTCACTTTCGGCATCATCTCCGTCTAAGACTGCGTCTCCCATCATGATTAATTCCCATGCTTCTCAGTCGAAACACAAAGTAGAAGATGACTTATTCTGGGGCCCAATTGACCAATCAAAGCAAGCAAATAAGCAGTAAGATATTTACTCTTTTCCTCTATTTGATATTAATTCATTGAGTTAGGTTGTGTAGGCTGCATATCGCTCTGAGATAGAAACCTTAATTTGCCTCTCATAATTGTATTGTGGGATGCATGTGGGAGTTTGCTCACATCTTTTATGTTGGTAGGGGACTAATTTGAGCTGAGCTTGTCTTTTTGTTTGTTTATTTCTCTGTGAGCAGGGCAGATTTTCCTCATCTTGCAAGCCAGGGCAGTTGGGGAGTGAAAAATACTCCTGTAAAAGGAACTTCAGCTGGTTCATCGAACCGGCAGAAATCAGTGGGTGGCAAACCAACTGAGCGATTACTTTCATCCTCACCTGCCTCTTCTCAGTCATCTGTAAGAGTTAAAAGAGATGCCATGACCAAGCAATCAGGTGTGCTATCATGATACTGTTAATTCTTCTCTCAAAGATATTAATTGATGCCTATTTACCCCGTCATATTTTTCTTTGCAGAAGCCATGGACTTCCGAGATTGGTGCAAGAGCGAGTGCGTTAGGCTTATTGGGACAAAAGGTATGTTGACCTTCTGGCCTGCTTAATAATTTATATGCAAGTGCCTTAATTAAATTATGCGTGAAATCCATAGCATAAGGTTGGTATTAGGAGTTGATTTTCCTTGTAGCTTAAAAAGTGAATTTATAGTAATCTTTGCACCCCAAGAAATGAAAACCGGCACACAGCACACACAATTGAGGCATGTGGCTTCCTTGATCAGAGGTGTAATACTAATATAGGCTTCTTTTTTTGTTGGTCCAAATGCATTCTTCTTGCGATATTAATTGTATCACTGATTTTTGTTAAAATTTGCTAGATACGAGTGTCCTTGAGTTTTGCTTGAAGCAATCCAGATCAGAGGCTGAGTTGCTTCTAATAGAGAACCTTGGGTCGTACGATCCTGATCATGAGTTCATCGACAAGTTTCTCAACTACAAGGAGTTGCTATCGGCTGATGTCCTTGAAATTGCGTTTCAAAGTCGGAATGATGAAAAGCTCACCGGGTTTGGTGGTGGAGATGTGAATTCGTACGGTGCAGACGCTGGGGATGTTGACCAAGATGGGTCCTCCAAGGGGGGTGGCAAGAAGAAGGGAAAGAAAGGGAAGAAGGTTAGCCCTGCTGTTTTGGGATTTAATGTGGTGAGTAACCGCATCATGATGGGTGAGATCCAGACACTGGAGGATTAGGGAGAGTGGTTTTAAGAGGCAGGCAGGCAGGCAGGCAGTTGTAAATAGATTTTGGCTTTTGGACTGTATATGGCTTTTTTACCTTTTCGCCCTTAGAATTTTTTGTTTTTCCCTTTTGTAGTGCCACAGCAGCAGTGCTAATTTTATCTGCTCGAGCGATTTTGTGTAATGTTCCTTCCAGTGGTAAGAGTGCTTTTGTTATTTTTATTCGCTTTACTTTAGTTGAGAGATCATCCTGCGGGAGACGTTGAATCTTCTTCAATCGAGGTACCCTTTCCCTTTGTTTCATTCATTTGCTTGCTTCCCATCTTTCTGTCATCTGCTATCTTTTATGTTGCAGTTTAGTGATCGATTTGAGTTTTAACTCTCTTTTTATTTTCATCATGCTATCGTGGATTTTACTGCAAAAAATAAAAAATAAATGTTATTTCGAGTGCAGTACTTATATATCACCAAGTATAGAGGTTTTTTGTTTTTTTTGGTTTTTGTTTTTGGGGTCAAATTTTATTTATATTGGACCAGTCAAAAAATATTTAAATAAATTAAAAATCAACATTGATCTTTTTTATTACTGCTTCGTTTACCATGAAAAGGAAATTAAATACGGGGTTTTTTCTGATCCAATGGACCAATACTGAAGTTGCGTAACGTCGCGCGGATTTAGTGGTCATTTCCTCTCACTGTTACTTCTGCAGTGGCGTGGGGGCAGTGGCATCGTCTGAAGTTTACGTGGAGTGGGACCCACTGGAAGACAACTTTTGACTGACATTTCTCTTCTCTATTATTTGAAGCTCAGACTTTTCTTTCTTTCTTATATACTAGCCTCGCATGTACTTCGAGAGGATTTTTTTTTTAATTTTTAATTTTTAATTTATTTTAAAATTTTAAAAAGATTTTTTAGGTTTTAGACATAAAAAAAAATTTACTTTTGGAAAAAGCCAAAACTTTTTCAAAAAAGACAAAAAAACCACTCAACTTTCAAATCAAAGACATGGGATAAAATTATCATATTATCCTCAATTAATTAATAATTTTAATTCTTAATATTTATATTAATTAAGAAATTTTTTTTTGTATTTTGAATGTTTCTTGCATTTTTTACCCTTCGCTTTATATATGTAGTCACGCTCGAAACAGATTTTTTTTTTTTTTTTGATTGAATTGGGGGGAAACCCCCAAGCAACACAACTGTATAAAATCAACACAAACAAGATAGGGACAAGACATCCCAATCAAGTCGTCAATAACTAAAGAACTTATCCAACTTAACTTATCCAAATTAGCTAATCCATCCAGACATCTTTTGATACAGTACAAAATTTAAAGAAAATAAATATTAATCCTGTGATGCAGGATCGGTTTCACGCTTCCTCTCTTTCTAGCAGTTCAACGCCTAATTTAGTTTATTTTATTTTATTTTAGCAGAATCATACCACAACTTGATTGGGGAATTCAAATAAAACAAAAAATACTTGGTACGTACATGTCTGACTATTTTGTAAAACTCTCCGATGACACTAAAATATAAACAAACAGTTGAATTCACCGCAATCCTCCTTGATATAAAACTTGGTGCATGCATGGGTTAAGATAATAATACAGATCAGATGGGTCTTCGTCTTCCTCTGATGGGTAAAATTATGTTTGTGTATAGTCCAGGTGGACGGACATCTTCTTCCTCCAAATTTTGAGCAGGAGTTGAATGAGTAAGTAGCAAAATGGAAGGCAGGCTTCTAGTTTTCAGCTACTTGCTACTGCTGTAGCTACCTTGTTGCTTTCCTCTTCTTTCTTGGATCTCTTTTTCAATTCTCTATTGCTCTGGAAATAAATAACTAAACAACATAGGTCAAAATTGGAACACTAGTGAATTTTTATAAGGGACTGAAACTTGCTATGACCGTTGAATTTTCTTTATGATTATGTTATGAAATGCCTATTCTGATTCTAGGATCAAACAGAAGACAACAAAACAAAACAAAAGCAGAGGACCCCTTGACTTGACGTATCAAAAAGCAGAGAGTAAAGTTTTGAGAGATCACACCACCAAATTTATCTAAAATTTAACTTGATGTACATGAACTTGAGGAAGATGGACTGACCGCTGAATGAAGTTGAAGGGGTAAGGGGTCGAGTACGATGGAGCGGATGGACATCTTGGCAATCTCCAACACGGCAGCGTCTCGATCAGGGGCAACATCACTGCTCAAATGCTCGTAAGCTGCTTCAAAAGCCTCCTGCCAAAACCGAGGCAATCGATTGCTGCTACTTCTGCTGCTCTGGGTGTACAAATCCCACATGTGCCGCACCACCTTCTCTCTCTCCTCCACCTCCTGTGTTTATATACACAGATTAATTTCTACTACAGAGTACAGTAATTTAATTTAATTTGATTCAACCATGAAATTGAACAACATATGCAAATTTATTAGTACCAGAATATCGAGATCGTCAAAGGATGGAAGGTCCCAGTCGTCGGAGAGGCGGGTTAAGTTGCCGGCGGACCACCTGAGGGTAACGGATCCGGTGAACATGGACCAGAAAGCCAGCAGGAGAATCGCAGCTAAAACCCAGAACTTGTAGCGAGTCTTGTCCAAAAAGCTTCTGCCTTTGGATGATGGAGAAGAAGAAGAAGAAGAAGGTGAGGGGTCCTTCCTGAAGACCGTTGGTGTGGCTGTGGTTGATGGGATTGTTATGAGTGTCGGTGGATCGTTCTCTTTCATTTTTAGAAGATGGAGGAGTTAATAATCTTCAACAGTGCAGGCTAAAGGCTGAAGAGCGGAGGAGACAGAGAGAGAGAGACTGAGGAGAGAAACTCTTTTTTGGTCTGGGAGGTTCTGTGGACTTTTTGGTACACTAGTGTGGGTGTGGTGTGGCCCTGCCTGTGGACTTGTTGGGTGGGGGTGAGTAAATGTTTGGGTGTGGAATAGTAAATTAATTAATGGGTGGCATGGAATGGGGTGGGTGGGGTGAGCCATCAATGTATCAAATTCGATCGTCATGCATGGCATTATTAATCACACTGACGAAACGGCCGTGGAAGATGGATGGAGTGTATGCAGTGTTTGGCCATCTACCATGCCCAATTTTGCCAGTGGAATTTGTTTTGTTTCTGCTGAATAATGGAGATGTGGGGTCCAGTTAGGCGCGGGCGGGAGGGAGGGAGCATATAGCACTTGCCGACTAGCTTTGACTCTTTGGTTTAAACTAACGTCACCTTCCTCTCACCGTCACGACCCACTCTGTTTCCAGCATTTCCTCCTTTAGAAATTTGTGCTGCTAAATTAGAATTACTCAGCGAAGTAGCTCTCGTACTGGAAATTGACAAATTACTCAGCGAAGTAGCTCTCGTAATGGAAATTGACAAATCTTAAAGCCTCTCATTTTCCCACCGTCCCATCATCATCAATATTTAAAACCTCAAATCAGTCCGAAAGCAGCAGGATGGAGGATGGAGGATGGAGGATGGATGGTGGTGATTGTGTTTAATCAGACAGCCAAAACACTCTAAAATATGATGGACAAAACGCAACGGCTAGGCAACTTTCGGAGGGCCAATGGGCTTCTCCGGCCTCCGCAACGTTAGAACATACTCAAGCCCTAACACTGTTCTTCCCATTTCTGATTCGCAATTCTTCAACACATCGACCTAACGCACGCTTTATTATAAAAGCTAAACCAAGTTCATTAAAGTGGATACACTCCCCCTCAACTTCAATGTAGTTTAGGGTTAATTTGTGATTTATCTCCTGAATTTGTACCTAGTTTTTAATGTGACCTCATCTAATTTGTACCTAGTTTTTAATGTGACCTCATCCAATTTGCCGTTAAATATGAGGGCAAATTGATCATTTTTATGATAAAATAAAATAAAATAATTTGAACTTCGAAATAATAATCAATAATGATAGAAATAAAGTTTTTATTTAAAAAAAAACAGAGTACAGAGAATGTCATCCCTCAGACCAACCCCACTTCTATAAGCTTCAGACCAACCCCATTCCCCAAAATGGAACACAACACATCCCATACAACACCACCAAAACCAGGGGGACTCAAACAAGTAATAGAAGAGAGGAGAGGGCATCTTCTGGTCTTGGTTCCTTTCGGACGTGCAGGTGGTGAGTCAGTGGAATTGGTAGTTCTCTAATCAATAGCTTTCTTCCTAAAGTGAAAGGGCCCCTGGAATCATGGCAGTGCTAATTTATAACGTGTAATTTCCCACATACTAGGTTACAAAATTGTTGTATTTCAAATACATCTGGGACACGATTAAAATACAAATGAAACAAGCTTATGAATCCCCCTCAAGAAACAACTGTGTAGCAAAGAGATTCTGTCCTTGGGCAAATTCACTGCAACTGAATTCAGCTCAAGTATAATATAATTATTTATTCAACAAAAGAATCATATCATAAATTGAGATGAATTACCAATGCAACCTCAACCAACTTAAAATGACAACACAAAAGTATACGGCGCTCAGAAAGGGTGCATATCATATCATGGATTATCTCATATGTCCAGACATAAATTAGAGCAACCTCATCATAGCAGCCAGCACATACCACAAGAAAAACAAGGCAAACAGGTAGAATTATACAAAATTCAAAGATCCTCAGAGCCATTCCACAAGTGGAAGTTGCAGACAATCTACATAGCATCAGATTCTGTCCGCCCGTCTGCTTTTCCTCATCATTGAACATTTTTCTTAAAGACTCAAAATCAACGCCAACAGAAAAGAAAAACAGGGCAATGCTTCAGATAATAAGCGGAGTAATTTTGTCCACATTTATTTCGGTGTGTAGTATAAGTGAATGTTGTTTGTAGCATCATATGCGTTGCCCAGAAATCAAATAAACAGATAGTAATTTACAAATAAATAAATAAATAAAATTTTGAAAATGGCATCAGATAATAAGCGGAGTTTATGTCAACACAAACAATCAGTATATCAATAAGCGGAAAAGATTATTCATCACTTGCCATTTGACTCCACCAACATAAACACAAAATCGAAAATCAAAAATCAATCTGCAAAGAAGAAGAAAGTGAGTTTCGGTAGGTCCATTTGACCCCAAAGCAATCCTATATATGCAATGGGCTGGTAAGCCAACCTCTCGCTCTCCGCATCCGTTATAGCTCCTCCAGCATTGATTTTTCGCATGGAAGGAGCGGGTAAACAGATGCACACACAATCAAAACCTAACTACCAAAACAGATGCTCAATATCTAGATCCAGTAAGAACCAAGGCAGCCAAGCAGAAACCAAACAACGAAATTTGATTCGGATTCGTATTGAAAGCAGGAGAGTGATTGAGAACTGAGAGGAATGAGAGGCGTCAAGCAGAGCTTAAATAGGGGTTTGTGTGAATTAGGGTTTTTTCCCTTTTGGGCTTTGAAACCTGAGCATTTGCATGGGCTTTTTACATGGAAAGCCCAAGCCCAAGCCCGGCTTTCAGGCCTGGTTAGTAATCAGAGACACACACCAACAACAAAAAATTAATTTCTCATTGGAGGAGACCAAAATTAGATTAATCTTGACCGATTGCGTTTTACCTATATGTACATGCAGTTCTTTCTTTCTATTTTATACTTTGCTTCTATAAAATAAATTGAACAAAACGCAATGCCGTACGTACTAGCTCACTCCCACTTCTTGTTGATCCCCAACGTCTTCTCTCTTAAGATCCGCAGGAGGCAGAAAGCACTCCATGGACAACCCACAAATATTGAAATCAACCTCTTCAATCTTCCACGTCTCCTCAATCCTTCTCTTCTGGTTAAATGCATGCCCGTACCTGAACAGCAAGGCAGACGTCTTGCCGCCGTGTGCTATGTTGATCCCGTCCACGTATCTATAGTCTCCGATCACCGTCTCCATCGTCGTTTCCCAAAACACATTGTCGTATCTTGACTTCATCTTGACCAACTTGGTGTCGTCGAATTGGATGAGCAGCCCCGTCCGTTGGCTGAAGTAGCCCCATATTGTGTGGTGAACAATTTCCGTCTGGGGTGTGCTTTGGGATTGTAGGATCTCTGTGGGGGTCTCAAGCTTGAGTATGAAAGATTCCTCTTTGTTAATGGTTTTCTCCCCTATGCATACTGCGTCTAGGAACAGGTTTGCTATGCTCCGAGGGTCCAATCCCTAAGAATTTAATCATTAGTTATCTTTATGTAGATAATGCTAGAAACATAACATAATATATGTAGCATGTTCAATGTGAGCCAAATATGTTAATATTATTCATATGTGATCAATACCTGAAAGAAGCGACGGAGGGGTCTTGGGGGGCCTTTATTGGCATGGCAAGGTTGAGAGCCGGATTGATTCCATGCAACCTTGCCGTCGCTTCCGGCGCTGACCTTGAAGCCGGAAACAACCAATTCCAAGTACCACAAGTCGGGATTCTTTTGCCATAGAACAAACCCTCCAACCTCACTATTGCCTTTGGTTTGCACATGCACAGAGTCATCACCTTGACGCATTTCCGATCCCACCATCTTCATCTCGCCCACGGCGTACATACTATTCACCGAGTTCAATACCGCCAGTCCCCCAGTCGCCGCTACATATTGCTGCACTATATATTTTGCCGTAGAAGCCTCCTGCATGCATGCAAATTTCAATTATATTTCCGTAATAATAATGAGAAATGCACATAAATTGATATTGTTAATGTAATTAGGTTACGTACGATGGAGCAATCTTTAATGGGGCGGGTAAGGGCATTGTCGCAGTGAACCTGGAGGGGAATGAGAGGAGAGCCCACAAGCTTAAGCAAGGCCATGAACTCATTGTTCGATCGTGATGAGAAATGGGATTTACCATTTGAAGACCTGTCGACGTGGGACTGAGCTTTCATGAAAGAACGTAGGTTTGCCCAACGCAACATGGCGTTGCTGCCCATGCTGTTGAACATTTCCTCAGGAATTGGCACCTCGAGGACGGTGTCGAGGCCATCTTCTTTGTCAAGGTTAGGGCACAGCTTCCTCATAGAAATTAGGTTATTAATTAATTAAGGATTGTGGAAACAAGTTAATTAGTAATTTATTGAGAAACATATGCATGTAGGAGGGGTAGAGGAGGAGGAGAGATTAAGTTAGAGAGAAAGAGGAAAAGGGAAACTTTCCCCTTTCTCACCCTAAAGGGGCTTTAGGGTGTTTGAAACTTTGAATGGATAACAGGGTGTTCCTATTTTCTGTCGAAATTTTCAATTTTTAATTAGTAGGAGATTAAGTGGGTATTTGGAAATGAGAAGGGAGAGAGGAAGGGAGGGAGGTTTGCTTTGTTGCCTAGGGTGGTGCTTGCGCGTAGGTGTCGCATATGGCTTTGGTATGATAATTTTAAGGGCACATATATAGTAACCTTATTTTAGGAACCCGCCACCCCTACCACAACTAAATTCAACAATATGCATAACAGGACGTCAAGATTATGTTATGTTGACTTTAACTTATGTGCATCGAATTCATTGAGATTACGTATACAAATTCATTATATTCATGTGTAAATTTATTTTATCTACCAACTTACAAATATAAAGTTGTAAGCATGCACATGTGATTTCACTGCTTAAGCTTTGAACAAGTCCTACATCAAAAAAGAATTTGAAGAGAGAAAACAGAAGGGTAACGAAAGCGAACTCATTCTTTATGCTTCTGTCGCCTCCTCCGGCTCGATCCATAGTGCAAAGTCAAGAAGTCAAACGCGTGTGAATAGTAGTAAAAATTTATTTATTTTGTAAGCATGATTTTGTTTCTACACGTGTCACAAAAATTGTATCTTTCTGGCTGTCTGGTCCTCAACCATATAGTACAGGTTGTCCTTGTTTTCTTTTATTTTTTTCCGTGGGAAGTATAGGTTGTCTTTTAATATAATATATGAAGATGTAAGAATGAAATGGTTGGGCCATGACCGTGACTCCATGAGTGATCGAGTCTTTGATGTGTGCTGCATGGAATTCGTCAAGCCTATCACTGGATACAACCACATCCTCTACCTCCATGAAATTCCTTAATTTGATACGTAGCCTTCAACCCTCATTTGATTATTATAAACCCAGCCATGTATCTAACACACATTTTCGAACCAAACAATCACTAATTAAACTCCATGCATCCTTAATCTCTCTTAATTAACCATCCGATCACTTGGATTTAGCATGATAATCCTACTTTCTGTGATTCTATGGCCGGCCTCAACATACTGTATATATGTAAACCCCAAATCATCATTCTACCATCGCAATTCACAATTCCCAAGCTCAGCTTAATTTAAAGGTAATTAATGGCTAAACACTACTTCAAGCTCAAATTCCCTCGGGTTATTCCTCTGATCCAATTCTGTCGTCCCAAACACCATGCCACTTTACCGGCAATTTACCGGCTGTCTCCCGTCAACTCCAAAGCCTTGGACATCGGCTACCCCAACCTCCTCCCCGCCCCACCACCGTCCACACCCGAACACCCCTCCATCAAGCGCCGCGAGTCAACCAAGACGACGACCAAATCCTCCCGCACCGGCTGCGGATCATGCAGGTCCAGGTCATGCACGCGATATATCTCTGACTGCAACGTCGAGATCAAATCATCTGCAGATTACGAGCGCAACAACAATTATATGTCCCCGATTTCGGAGACCGAGAAGTACTACAAAAAGAAACGCAAGGAGAAGAAGAAGAGAGCCAAAGCGAAAGCCGAGCTTCCTTTTATAACTACTTCTTCGGGAAACTACGGTAACTGGTTCAGCGGCGAATTCGAAGGAGACGAAGAAAACAACGAAGAAAGCGCAACCCCACTTTACTCTTCCAGAAGCTTCTCGAACGAATTCTCACTAGTGTTAGAGAGTATAGCAGAGAAAATGTCAGACAAACAGAACAGCCTGCAAAAGAACAACAAGAAAACTAATAATGTTGATTATAATAACAGCAAAACAAAGAAGGTTCGGAGAGCCAATTCAGATTCGGATTTGAAGAAATTGACGAGTGGTGAGATTGGGAGGATAAAGACGGTGTTGCGGCCGATGAGGGTGTGCAGGGGAAAAGCAGGGAAGGTGAGAGAGAGCATGGCGGTGGTGAAGAAGTCGGAGGATCCGTACGACGACTTTAAGAGATCGATGATGGAGATGATCATGGAGAAGCAGATTTTCGAGGCTAAAGAGTTGGAGGAGCTTCTTCACTGTTTCTTGACTTTGAACTCCCGCCACTACCAGGGGGTTATTGTGGAGGCCTTTTCTGAGATTTGGGAGCTCTTGTTTTCTGATCCTTCAGACCAATTGGGAAAGTTGAAGAACTGAATATAAATATATATATAAGATGCTATATGTTATGAACTTATGATGCTATATCATAAATCAGAATCATCCATTTTCAATTTATACAAAGTAATGAATGTTCCACGGTAACAGAATTGAGATGAACCTTGCCGGAACTACAAGCACTCTATAATATTAAATTGTGCAGCCTCAATCATGCAGAAAATAAAATATACATGTACAACAAGCAAGCTTTTCAAGTTATTTAAGCAGAAATTCCTGCTCTTGATCGCCATCAATTCCCGGAAATGATGCCATGTCATTCTCAAAAAATTTGACATGACAGAGCTTTTCCCCAGCTTCATCAGCAAAAGTAATCTTCTTTTCCTTGTTTGCAACGTTCTCAGAAGCATTAGAACCATTGTCAGCCAATTTCTGCAATTGATGAACGGAAATGATCAAAATGATGCCACGGACCAAGGAAAAATTATACAAAATAAATCAGGATGAGGAGCAAACCATGATTTTACAAAACCGGTTACAGTCCCTCGACATCATGGAAAGCAATCTTCTAGCAGATGCTTCAACTCTTGCTACATTCTTAATTGCCATCCTCGCCTGCCACCATTCAAAACTCATAGATGAGCATAAAGAATTCATGCGCATTTGCATACTAAAAGGGTGCAGCAGCAAACGTATGTGAAGAAAAAAGAATATTGGTGTACCTCATTTGCATTGTATCTCAAGGATGTGGCAGGATAGGCTTCACGCTGTAATCTTTCTTCCGCAATTTCCTTCATGGTCTTTAACTCATTTGACAGTTTTGTTGCAAGACATTCAATGTCATGCATCTGGCGTTGTGAGAATGCAATGGCACTCTCTGAACAGGCTCGGATAGAAGTGCATCCTGTGCTAAAACGCGGTGCTGCAGCAGAAACATTAGAACCTTTAGGGATGCCTTTAGGATGGGAATGAATCTTCTCATATTTGGGATTCCTATTGTTTTGCGTTTTGATAGCTCTCCTGATCTGATCAAGGCCTCCAGCTCCACCAATTGTATTCTCGGCTTGTTTTCCAAAACATAGATTCCCCTTGCAAGCTGAAATAATCGGAAACACATGAAAGTCAAATACATGGAGAATGAAAGAGAAATAACAGCAAGAGGAGGGATTTGATATACATTTCAAACCATCTGATAAATGGAGTAATGATCAGAAAACCAAATAAAATTTCAAAGTACCCAAAAAATTTATCGGCATCTCAAAATGAATTTATTCAGAAAGGAAAAAAGAATTGAAAGGAAGTTTAAACATTAAGAGGCTTTAATAAAATTGTGTTTCTTTAAAAAAAATAACAGAAATGAGTAGAAACGGAATCTACGCAAAGTTGTAGAGGACAAGGTGTCGTTTAACAAACCAAACCTAACAGCTACCGAAGAAGGCATATAAGTTGCACTGCAATTAACAGCCATGAGCATGTATGAATTGCAACACAATAAACAGCTTTTTAAATAACAGACTTTAATCCCTGCACCTTCTTCCCCAATGTTATCAAAAGTCCCATTCCTTTCCAGCCACAATATCAGAAACATAGCAAGCTAACCACATCTCCCTGAATCAAATTGAAAAGAAAAAATACACAGCCCCCAATCTGGACACCAAAACTTTTTTTAATTTAATTAAAACGGATGGAAAGAATTCTGGACGATCATAGAATACACCCTGTTGTCTACTTGGCCACACGTCAACAGACTACAAAACCACAGGTGGAGATCCCAATCAAACCATCAACTAGCTTTCTTCTAACCAAAAAATATATGTATTCCATGCTAAAGCCTCAATTTTGTTAATAAAGTCAAATATTTAATATACTTTTAAAATTAAACTTCAACTTTACTGTATACTTGTAGCATCCAAGCTCACAGAGTATGTTATGATTGTAAGCATTCGATAGGCACAACATGCTTTGTACTTACTGCGATGTATCTTTGAGATATCTTCGTCCTGTAACTCAATTGACTTCATAGCCTTACACAATTTTTCTTGGGAAGCTGGTGAAATGATCTGAACATGAAAACAGTTCATAAGAAACAACCTCCACACTACAATAAAGCTATATAAACAGCCAATAGATATTATGTACCTTTCTGGTCTGAAAGAGCCTTTGAGGAGGACGTTGCTGCTTTAAATTAGGACTCCCACCATTCACCAGTGTTGTAAGCTCGTCATTAGCATCAGAAGAAAAGATCCCCGGAGACAAGTTTCTTTCTGCAACAGCACAGGGAAACGTTTGGGATTGCTTCTCCTCCTCAGCCATGGGAGAATCAACAGCAGCAGAAACCAAACAGCTGCCAGAGCCCAAGCCAGAGTCACTAATGGAGCTAGCGCTGGCTTCAACATTAGACGTTACGTCAGCTCTGTTCTCAGCCTTAGGCAGGCATCCATCAGTTCCATTAATAGGTCCCCTGCACTGAAAGGAATCATCAACAGCCATATTGGACATTTGGACCTGGGTCTCGCTGTTAGTCTGGTATAACCTTTCATCCTCGGAGGAAAGAGCGTCATGTGTATCAAAATTATGATGAGTGTCATGTGTATCAAAATTATGATCTTGCGATGAAGATATTGCTTCAATGAAGATGTCAGGGTGAACCGAATCCGTGATATATCCTTCTATGTTATATTCTAATAAAGGAAAATCGAAGCACTGGTAACTGGTTATCTCTGGATCATCCGCCTTGATAATATCCCAACCTGAGGTAGTTAGAATCTGAATTGGCGTGGGATTATCATACTCCATATCTTCGTACCAGTCTTCATCAACACCACAAATCTGACTTTCTTTTGTTATTGAAATTGGTAACTCAGTCCTGGAAACACAATCAGCAGCTGTCTCAGGTAATTCATTAGGCACCACTTCACAAGAACCCACCTGATTGTCACAAGCCAAAGAGGTATTACCAAGAAAACAGGTTGTGTTTTGGAAATCTGAAGAATCAGTTTCAGGAACCTCTACTTTAAGAACAGGTGTAGGCACATCTCGACTGAATTGGAGTGTCTCCGGCTCACTTGGGATGTGTTCCAATTTGGTAGTCAATATGGCACTTTGAGACATAGTGGAGACGCAATTTTTCACACGCTTGCTCTTAGTCTTGGCATTTGCCTTCTTTGAGAGTTTAACTTTCCAATTACTAAGAGGCTCTATGAGATCACAATCCTCTTCATTAGTTTGCAACTCAGAATACTCTTGCTTTATAGGGCAGCACATTTCAAGTTTTTTGTTCAAATAAACAGATTTTGAACGTTTTCTTTTCTTGCTCTTGCATGTCTCTTTGATCTGCTTCAGTGTCATATTACCAAAGCCATCCAAATAATCTCTTCCATCATTGTTGTCGCTACTATTAAAACCAGAATCTTCACGTTCAGTTTTGATTGTTATATTTCGCACAGTACAGTTCCTTGTACTTTCGCCCATGACCCAATCCCTGTCCATAAACAAGCCCCTGAACTCATCTTTTGGTGGAATTGCTGCAAAAGAATCACCATTTTTGGCATCTAATGTTTCACATATGTCTATCAACTTCTTGAATTTGAGAACTGGCCTTCCACGAGCCACATTCAGAGTTTTTACCGGTAAACCACCTTTCAGAGCTTGGATGAAATGCAAATGAGTGCAACTTCTTAACTCCATCAGAGTTTTTACCAGTAAAACTCAATTCTTCTTGTTAGTACTGGAATGATCGTTACAGCGCATGAGACACTTTTCCTGCAACAGAGGCCAACTTTACTCAATATAATGATAGTTTCAATAATGGTAACCATCGATTTCATCACATACAAGGTAATGCAATGTAACGCCCAAAGAAAAATAAACAATAAACGATATGAACATGCAGTGAAATATAGTATACAAATAGTATACTGTTCTCAGAGATAAAACAAACTTTGCAGAATTTGATTACATAAGTGGGTCATTATGGGTAATTACAAATTGATCAAGTACGCTTTACATTTTTCAACTAATTCTTAGTTCTCAAACCAGTACTGCAAAATGCACAACAGCCTGAAAACACAGATACCCACTAAGTGGAAAAGCAAAACAAATCTAATTTCAGGAAAGAAGATCATGTGTCAAGCTTAGAAGCAAGGCCCATACCCTAAAAACTTCATATACAGTCCACACACCAAATCACACCAGTGATAAAAAAAAATTCCGAGTATTGAATATTCCAAAACGATTAAATCAAACTATTATATCAACACAAAAAAACATAAAAGTGACCAGTAACTATTCTTATTTAGCAGCACGTAACAGTAATTTAACGAAAATCAAACCCTAAGCCCCAAAAAGATGATGATTAAAAAAACTGAAAGACAAAAAATTTACCAGATTCCTCCACGAGGAGCACCACTGCTGCTAGGTCTTTGCTGAAACAAACACTTTCAGAAGACCCCCCATATTACACAGACGAATTTAACTTTAAATAAATCGGAGATCCAGAATATTAAAAATGAAAACCTTAATTGAAGCCCTAATCAATTAGTGGGCTTCAACTGTTAACAAATCAAAATCAAAACTTCAAAGTGGAAATTAAAATTAGAAACTTAGGTTGGCTAGAGAGAGATTACCTTCGATAAGATCCCTCTGTTTGGGGATTCCACACCAGCGAAGAACGGCAATAAGAATAAGGGATAGAAAGAGGTAGGTGAGAGGGAAATGGCACAAACGGAACCACAGAGAGAGAAGCTGATGAGCTGAATAGGCTGGGCTGCTTTGGAGTTCCAGTGAGAGCGAAAGGAGCAGAAAGTTGAGATCTGAGAGGTAGGGGGCCTGCAAGGGCTTTAGCTCGGGGAAAGAGGTATTTAGACAAAAGAAAGCGCGCCAAATTCTGTTTGGCGGGAACTCAAACGTTCTCTCCATTTAATATTCGGGTGGGAAAGGGGATAATAGGGTACAAAATCAAGTATAGGATTGATGATACGCTGTTCATATCTAGCCGTTGATCTGTCTCTCTCTCTCTTTTTCGTTCTCTTTCTGTTCAT